GGGGGGGGGGGGGAGGGGCCAGGTTGCACCCCCTGCCCAGCCGGGGCTGTGCTCCGCTGGGGCTGGCAGGGTCTCTCCATCACCCCCCACCTCCCCCAGCAGCGCAGAGCGCGTCCCTGCTGGGCTCCAGCCCCCTCCTGTCGGAGGCCAACGCCGAGCGCATCGTGGACACCCTTTGCCGGGTGCGCGGCGCCGCCCTCAAGATCGGCCAGATGCTCAGCCTGCAAGGTGCGGCGGGATGGGGACAGGGGCTGGGCTGGGGGGGATGGCACTTGGCTCCCTCCAGCATTGGCGGGGGGTCACAAAGTCCTAATCCTGGTTTTATGCTCTTGTCTGAGGCAGTAACACCGCCCCCCACGAGGCTGTACCCTGTGGGAGCTGCCCCCAGCAGGGGCAAGAGGGAGGTGGGGCTGGGCATCCCACCCCTGGCTCCCCCAGCCCCCCCCCCCCACACACAGCAGCTTCCTGAGCCCCCAGCTGCAGCGGATCTTCGAGCGCGTGCGGCAGAGCGCCGACTTCATGCCCCCCTGGCAGACCAGCGTGAGCGCCGGCCCCGCGGGGGGTGGGGGGAGCCCCCGGCTGGGTGGAGAACTGGCCTGCTCGTGCCTCCCCCCCCCCACGCTAGCCAAGCCGCAGCAGCTGGTGGCGAGGGGGCTCTTGGGGGGGAACGTGGCTCACCCCTGTGCCTGCAGCAGGTGCTGGCCGAGGAGCTGGGCGCCGGCTGGCGGGAGCTGGTGGCCTCCTTCGAGGAGACGCCCTTCGCGGCCGCCTCCATCGGGCAGGTGCACCACGGCCAGCTGCGCGACGGCACCGACGTGGCCGTCAAGGTCCAGGTGAGCCCCAGACGCCTAGGCTGTCTCCTAGGTCTGCTCGTGGCGTTGATAGGAGTGGGGTGGGAGCCCGGACGCCTGGGTTCTCCCAGTGTCCTTCTCCCTCACCCCGTGTCCTTCCCCCTCTCCGCAGTACCCCGGCGTGGCCCAGAGCATCCGCAGCGACATGGAGAACCTGCTCTCGCTGCTCAAGCTGAGCGTGGCGCTGCCGGAGGGTGAGGGACCACGGGGAGACCACCTTCCCCGCCTCCCATCCCCCCTAACCCCCTCCCCAGCATGGCCCTGATCCCCCTGGGCCCCCCCAGGTCTCTTCGCTGACAACACCCTGCAGGTGCTGCAGAAGGAGCTGGAGTGGGAGTGCGACTACCGGCGCGAGGCTGACTGTGCCCGGAGGTTTCGGTAGGGCCGGGGGGGCTCTAGGGCTGAGCTGGGGGGCTGGGGTTAGATGCTGCAGGGTTGTGGCTAGGAG